AGAGAAGTAGTTCCTCCACCTATTCAAAATGTTGTGGGAATCTGGAAGCAGATCATCATTCTCATCCTTCACTAAGTTACAGCTAGGCTGGTAACCCCTCTTAAAGTCATTTATCCTTCTATACAGGTCTCTAATGTTCTTGTTCTTACTGTTCATTGTAAGCTCATCAATTTTGTCTTTCAAATATTCCCTCTTTTTGTTCCTGAAATGCCTGCTGGTTTCACGTCTTGTATTGTTCAGATTATCCCCATTTATCTCACTTGTGTTCTTATTACCTACTAAGAAAAATTAAATTTCATTACATAAAGAAGTGGACAGCAGTTATACACATTTTGAAGTAGCACTGAACACGGAAATTCTGTCAAGCCCCGCTGTAACCTGATCCAATTAAAAAACAAAGTGTTTTGTAGGACTCTTTGGATTGAAGACAGAAACATCGAATAGTCTCTGCTTACACCGAAGCGAGATTTGACAATTAAATAAATAAAAAATTGTATTTAATGAAATGAAAGAAAAGTATTTTCTGTTTGTGTTGTCGAGTGTAGGTAGCTGCCTTGCGACGGGCTGCTCATACATCCGAGTCCTACCAGCTGTCTGTATGATTCAACTTACATAATTAATTAATTCTGAATGGGTATAGGCCAGAGAGCCAAGTCCGTCAAGAAAAAGAGGCATATTTAATGATCTTTAGAGTCTGGTATTTGCAATCTCTTACAATAATAAGAAATGATGAACAGCTACGAGGTATTCAAAACAACAAAGGGACCTCTGAAGAAGAAGAAGAAGAATATATATGCTTGGAACTGACGTCACTGAGGGAGCTGCAAATGGAGTAAGGTAGCTTGACACAAAATGCCGGACGTGCAACGAGAAGCAGTGACAGTGAGACAGGATATCATTAGCTGCATCACTTTATTACGAAACGAAATGCATCAATGGAGACACCGAAATTACTGACGTCTGTGCAGGAGTTGCAGCATACTCGTAATTGTGCGTCTGTAGTACTGATGAATCCCATATTGAGTTTCGCGCCAATATACATCTACATGAATCATCGACTGGACAATCGAACGTTTATCATTGATTAGCCGTAAATTATGTACTACTGTTACACATTAATCGGAGAGACCTTTTCAATAGGATGAAACTCGCATCCGCCGCGTAGACAACAGACAGAATGATTAATCTGTTGACTGTAGTGGTTATAATACTGACCGAACTAATAAACATACTATGAAATCCATCAATTACCTAACCGTGGAACACAGTCTTTCTCGAAACAATTATTCGACTGCTCATGTAAGCACCTTCTTCCTCGAAATTGAAATACAGATTTGGGCTTCTTCAAGAAACATTGCGGCGAATATGAATTGATAATAAATGTCTCAATATAACAGGAATTTCTTGTAAGAATATGTAATTTGTAGTCTACTTGAGATTCTTCAAAGGCTGGGAAAGAATTATAAGATCATAATTCTGCAGTTTAATGCTCCACTTCACCATATGATTTCAATTTGTAATTGTTCTAGGTTAAACTCGCCAGATACACTCTCAAAGTTTAGTTCCATTCACACATCTATACTTCTATCGTCAACATATGACAGGCTTTAGCGAAGTATTTACAGACCTAGCTATGATGGCAGTCAATAAGTTCGTGGAATGGCCTCAAAGCGTCGTTGCAGTGCATTACAGAGGATAGGTTGAGGTACCATATGATGCCCTGTCGGTTCATCTCTCGTCACAGCAAGAGGCAGTTGTGTGCAAACAGTGCAAGTAGAACTACGACCTCTATTGTGACCTGCAGTTAAATGCAAGTGGCAGAAATCGAAAATGTGGCAGTTTGAACAACGGGCAAACATCAAGTTCCGCCAAAAACTAGGCAAATCCCTAGCGAAACGTTTGGCGTAGGAAGAATTGGCTGTTGCTATACGACAACGCCCCTGCACATCGCTCTGCTCTTGTCCAAGAGGAACTGACAAGGCAACAGGTCAACGTTTTGCCTCACCCTCCGTACTCACCTAATCTCGCACCCTGCGATATCTTTCTCTTTCACCGCTTGAAAGCAAAGCTACTTTGTCGTAGATTTCAGTCGTCCGAGGAGGTCGTCAATGCCACAAGAGACGCCGTACAGTAATTTCCTGTCAATATGTTTCAGCAGTGTTTCCGGCAGCTATATCAACGTTGGCAGACTTGCATAGCGGCCAACGGCAACTATTTTGAGGGCCGATGTGGATCTGTGTAAGTGTATGTGAATACCTTGTAATCATCATCATCAGTAATCTGTCAGACGACAGGTCCACAGTCTCTTCCAAAACAATTCCTCCACTTAATGCGATCTAGAGCTTTCTCCTTCAAATGACAGTATCCTCTTCTGCTCCCAAGGTCATCCAGCATCTTCTTACGTCTTCTTCCTCGTCTTCTTGTCACTTCTATCCGCCCCTCTATCTTTCCTTCAATAACTTCTTTTAGAAGGCAGTTACCGCGTAAGATATGACCAATCCAATTAGCCTTCCGTTTTCTTATTTCGTGTAGGATATTCCTCTGCTCACTGACTCTAATTAACACTTCTTCATTTCTCACATAATCGGTCCAACTGATCTTCTCCATCCTTCTCCAACACCACATTTCGAAACTTTCCAGATGTTTCTGATCTACTGCCCTAAGTGTCCATGTTTCAGCCCCATACAGAGCTATGCTCCAAATGTAGCATTTCACTAGTTTCTTCCTCAAATTTAAGTCCAATTTGCTGGTAAAAAGATTCTTCTTCTTGCTAAATGCAGCTTTTGCCATGGCAATCCTGGATTTAATTTCACTAGTACACCTTCCATCATCTGTTAACAAGCTACCCAAATATTTAAAACATTTCACATTCTCCAGTTGTTTTTGGTCTATCTTTATTGTGACTGGGGTTGGTTGTCTCGAAATTTTCATAACTTTTGTTTCTCCACATTCATTTCCATGCCATAGCACCTTCCAATTTCAATTAGTCTATCAATCATGCCCTGTAGCACAGTTTCTTCCTTAGCCATTAACACAAGGTCATCTGCATATTTCACAGTTTGAATAATTTGCCCTCCTAATTTGAAGTCTCCGAGCCCATCCAGAGCTTCCTTGGTAAGGCATTCGCTGTACAAGTTGAACAGAATTGGTGATAAACAGCATCCTTGTCGAACTCCTCTTCCAATCTGCACACTTCCTGTCTCCCCTCTGTCCAGTCGTACTCTAACTTTCTGATCCATGTACAATTTGCTAATCAATCTTCTTTCACGCCTATCGATGCCTGTTTCCTTTAGGATCTGCATTGTAATATGATGCGATAAAACCACATTCCACGAACTTAATGACTACCGCGTATATACACGTACATCAGCTATCCTTAAGAAGAATTTCCGAAGTCTGCTTGTTATGGTTTGATCACGTACTGACATCCGAAAGGCAATACATATTTTGCGTCACCGCCGTTGTCGAACTGTATACAATATAAAACTTATATAATCTGCTTATTTTTTGAACATGGCGTCGTGCTTAATTAGCGGGACAGTCAACATTTTGAAGACGATCATCACTCACTACAGATGGCCGACCACTTCCTTCGCTCTTCATGGTGAACGTCTGTTCGCCCTCCCATCTTTGGACATTCTACACTACTGTCTTACAGTTCCTTCGGTCACTAAATTTTGTCCGTAAATAGCGCATCATTCGCAATGATTTCCTTAGTACTCAGAGAATAACAGTGTGAATTTCGCAGCTGGCGGGATTATCAATAGCAGGGCACATCGTAACTCACTTTGTACAGACAAGAACAAACACTAGGTGACCAGTTATGTGATTATTTTAGAGGGCAATGAGTCATGTGACGCTACCTCGCATGCGAGAGCTCTGTCCCGGTCCTAATTCAGTTGCCTAAAATAAAGGGAGGTTACTTTTCGTATAGTAGTCGTATTAATAATTTTCTTTATAGAGTCGTTGTCTAGCAATGAACATCTACTCTGGAACAGCTTTTCCGGGTTTTAGTCGTCATGTCACAGTATTATGAGCGCCCATACCCTGGTTACATGTAATATTAATTACGCCGGTGAGTTCTTGTGAACAATAGTCTGTCATGAACTGCCGTTATTTCACGAGAAAATGCTTATTTAGAAGAGCTTCTTAAATACATACTTTGTATTTCTTCAGTATTGGATATTATGATCAGATGAACTCGCCAAGCAAAGTCCATGGTCACACACAACCTCCAGGAATATTTGTCATGAATCCTTACACATAAATTCAATGGTTCGTTAGTTAGCTGTCAAATTGAAAGTTAAATTAATATTTCGCGAAGCCGACATATTGCAAATAATAGCACAAAAAGAAATAACCTCAGACTAATATGAGAATATTTCGAAGATCTATTGTCATGCGTCTTTGAAAACCCCTATAATAAGCGCAATATCACTGTCTTTTCACAAGTCCACGTGTCCGCCATCTTGTTATTAGAAATTCTAGGAAACTGAAAAATGTGAAATTTGAATGTTCTACAATAGTACGAATTTCATGCCAAATTTTGTGAAAATATGCCAATTCTAATTGTTTGAATGCACAATACAGAGATAGAAGGGTAGTTCCAAAATTTTAAGTTAAAAGCAAGGTAAAGTGCAAAGACTGGGTGATGCCCTTGAATGGCACGATGTATAATCATTCAACTAGTTCAAAAGTTATGCACTGGAGACAGGGTAGTTCTGTTCGAACACGAGGACATTATGCCACAGAATTTCTAAAACAAGCAGACCCATGCAATTCGCATGGACTAGGCTGAACATTTTACATATCTCTGCCAAAAACGAAATGCAGAACAAGTTAAAGTGCACTGGTATCCCTGGAAACGGTGACGCGCAGGCCTGTGTCGTCAAGAGACACTTCACAATGTCATTACACATATCACGAGAGAATTAAATTGCGTTATCCGGTTCAGAGCATGGGAAGGGCACACGAAGTGCAAGAAACCGGATGTGACGTACCTGAACTCGACGAATCCCTGATGCAGGAGCAGGGCCATGAAGTCCCCCGCCATGTCATCGCGTTCTCCCGTCAGAAGTAAAATACCGTCCCAGGCCTCCGGACGGAACTCAAGTTCCAACTGCACGTGTTTATATGCGGCACGAAGTGCTGGAAACGCGAGCCAACCCTGGCCTGTGAACCGCGGTGACCTTATCTCCACATCTGAAACAGAAGAGTAGTAACATGAAAACTTCCGTTTAAAGGGCTTTAAGTGGCAACATCGTCCTCAAACTTGGGCACGGATTAAACTCTTCTTACTCCAAAGTCTCTGAAGACAAGGTGGTCGAGGGCAGCACAGAAATAACAAGCCTAGATGAGGCAGAAAAGGAGATGCTGTAACAAGAGAATTTGGGCCGGTACCCGAGCATATGTTATGCATGCAGGATCTGAGGTTTTCACAGAGGTGGATTTGAAGAGTTATATCTTTTGGTATACGACGCCGTGTAGCCCGGTAACATATCGCCTCCATCTTCAGTAACAAAGAACAAGTCAAGCAAGAAATCAGCTGCTTTCATGCTTGGCATATTCTTCGACACCGAAGATGGAGGCGACATGTTCCTCCGAAACGTCGATTGACTGCATGGCTCTTATTTTCAGTGTAATTAGTGTGGTCAAGACAAGGAGAAATTAGAAGCAATGCAATAAATCGTGAAATTCCATGTTTGAAGGATCTTATATTACAAGATAAATTTCGAAAGCAAAGAACAGTCATTCATAGCTAACAAATATTTATATTCACTTCGGATAAATAATATCCATGGGCACTGGAAATTTGCAGAAAATATTCTTTAAGGCGGCTATGGATCTGATGGGCACGGGATGGGGAGGGACGAGAGGAGTAAAGCCAGCAGAAATCAGAACTTTAAAGACATTTCGCTTCATATGCACGGTTAGGTATGAATACAGATATTGAATTACACGAGGAGATTATAACATACAGGAAGACAAGACGAGACTCCTTAGGTGGAACCGGCGAAGACAGGCGGCCGAAAGTAACATGGAATTATAAACCGAGAGGCACCAGGGCCCCCTGAAACGGAAGGGCGAAGACAAAATCACAAAAACGACTTTTGTAACAAACATAGTCTGAAATGTTACTATCGTAAAGTAATCCAGCTCTCACTACTGCGCATGCAGAATGAAGGCCATTATACTTGATCGATCTATATACTTGTATCACAAGTTCTGTACAGGTCTGTAGTTCTGCTCACCTCAACATCGGTACCATAAATGCGTTAAGACAAAAGCATTACCACAATCAACACTGTCATTCTATAATCCTGAATCTCTGAGATAAGATACAAACTCGGGAAAACTGAGATTATAGTAATTTTAGTCGTGACTACCCAAGGCGCCCGTTCTTCGTCCAGATAAGCCACTGAGATACTGAAGTTGCTTAGTTCTTACATCACACATCTTAAATAAACTCCTACATGCAACTATGTGTAATCTTTTATTATAGCAGTCTTTTATGTACATAATTAATAAATATGATAAACATATTAAATTCTTACACAACGTAATACAAAACAAACAAACTCCGTGGCTTGTAGTCCGCAAGCGAACTTGCAGTGCAAAAAATAAGATACCAAATTACACTAATTCATCATTAAATTTAGATTCAAAAGATGAAAAACTTTAACATCGCACACATTTTCTGCTGCTTAGGGCAGTCAAATGGCATTGTGATGTACGTATTCTTTAAATATCAAACAGAAATATTTATAAAAGTTTCCACACAAATCGCTTTATGCACTGTAACTTACATGGTCACTCAGCAACAGTCAGGCAAGCAAAGCTGCAGTAAAAACGAGAGACTGAAGAACTTCACACTAAACAAGTGGACATAACAAGAAGTTGCATCGGCGCATTCACACAGCGTCGAATGACAGAAAGCTTCATTTTAGGTTGCTAATTTAACGACGCTGTCTGTATCGAGACTGTAACAGTAAAACGGTGATTCATGAATATGGAACAGTTGTTGAAACGAGAATTGGAAGGGGAAACTGATATTCTCAGCGAAAGCCTGCCCCAGTGTCACTTAGTTCGCAATAAATCTCACATGGCCGTCGCCATGGAAACCCTGGCACGGCCGAATTAGACGCAGATCTGAGTGTGTGCGTATATTCCAAAAAGTTTAGGAAATGCAGTATGATACTGTAAGTGATGTTTATTTCCGTTTCGGCAAGGAAATTTCCTGTCAACTCCTACCTCCTAACGAAACTACAGGGGATGGACAAAAATATGGAAACACCGAACAAAAAACACATTACCGTGACTAATATAGTGTAGGACAACCTCAGGCTTGCAGAACTGCCTGCAGTCTCCTTGGAATACATAAATAGAGGTCCTGTATGATTTGCAAGGGAATCTTGTACCATTCTTCCTGAAAAACATGTTAAGTTCTGTTATCGATGATGGAGGTGGATAGCGCGCACGCAGATCGCTCTCCAAAACAGACCACAAAGTTTCAATAATATTGATATCTGGCGATTGTGGGGGCCATGGCAGACGTGACCTCTCCAAAACAGACCACAAAGTTTCAATAATATTGATATCTGGCGATTGTGGGGGCCATGGCAGACGTGACACTTCATCTTAGTGCTCAGGAAACCGGTCTTGGACGATGTGAGCTGTGTGAACACGGGCACTGTTGTCTTGGTAAATGGCATCACCATTAGGGAACAAAGTTTGCACCATGGGATGGACCTGGTCGCCCAAAATGGTCACATAGTCGTTGGAAGTGACGTGACCTTGCAGGGTAATGATGGGTCCGACAGAATACCACGATATGGCTGCCCATACCATGATCAAACCCCAGCCACGTTTCACTCTTGGCAGCAAACAATCTGGATCGTAAGCTTGGGATGGCGTTCTCCAGACGTAAACTCGGCCAGAAGTCGGAAACAGTGTGAAGGAGGACTCATCCGACCAAATGACCATCATCCATTGCTCCGTAGTCCAGATTTTATGACTTCGGCACCACACTGTCCTCTTAGTGGCATTTTGATCACTGATGAGTGGCTTTGGAATTGCAGTTCGTCCTGAAGTACTCTGCTTGTGGAGTTCCCTTCATACTGTTTTGGTGCTGACAGGGATTGTGAGCGTGACATTCAGTTCAGCAGTCACTTTTGCAGCTGTAGTCTTCTTATTTTTCGTCACAATCCTACGCAATGTTCGTCTGTCTCGATCACCCAACACACATTTCCGTCCACACTGGTGTTTATCGGATACGGTTTTTCCAGTCCTCCTGTATGAGGTCACAATCTTGGATAATGTGCCTCGCGAAACACCAAAAACCTCGGCTACTTTGGTTAGGGAAGTAGCCACCATACGGGCCCCAACAATTTGCCCGCGTTGGAATTCTGTTAGTTCTGACATGCTGCACTAAAAATTGCACAGAACACTGTCTCGACAACAGACGAAGCTTGCAACGTATTGCGGAGGTTGTACAGGTAGTGGTGTTGGGCAGATACGGCAGCGTCACCTACAAACGTCGGTAAAATAAACACTTCAATTCAGGCATGCATTTCACGAGGTGTTTCCGTATTTTTGTCCATCCCCTGTAGAATCAGACGTCAGTCACATCAGCCTGTTGAACCAATCTATGCCGAGGACACTACGCAACACTGGAAGATACTTGAGTGTGCATGGTTACGTAATTCCAGCAGCTTCTAAAGGCTCACAGTCGCACGTATATAACAACAGGGATCAACTTTTCACGATGCGCAACTGTATGTTGCACCCCACGGGGCAGGGACTTCCCCGACTCAGATGTTCGTGGCATTTCTTGTACAGTAGAACATTGGTTTGTTGCGGCGTAAATCCAAACGGCTTGTATGAAAAACGAATTATAACGTATTTCACTGGTATGCGTTCCACGTACACAAACACTGAGATTCTCTTTTATAAAATAATAGAGAACATTTGTACATTTTAAACATAAACGTTATATACATGGCTTTATATAACATTTATTCTGCAATAAAAGGTAAAAGAAAAGCTGTCCCTGTAACAGACAGTGAATGCCCATAGGGATGTGAGACTCTGAGGCTCCCATATTTGTCCAGACAATAGGCTCACAGATGGCGGTACGGTTTTCAGCCCTGCGCGCCGACAGGCCTTTAACGTCCAGGAAGATTCCTGGTATTCATTTCTATTAGAGGCTGAGTGGACCCCGAGGCCATAGTGCAGCTGGAAGGATTAGGTCAACCGAAAAATTCCACCTCACTGGGATTCGAACCGGCGACCTTCCGGCTTGTAGCAGAGTGCCTAAACCAACTATGCTACCGCGTGTTCGCCTATTCCTGCAATAAAATGTGAATATGTAGGTCTTACTGACGAGGGGAATTCCCCGGCTGTGGACAGTCAGCGCCGACCGGGGGCAATTCCCTGCTTCCCATGTTTCTAACGACTTCCATATTTGCTTCTAACGTTAATAGACTTGCTTGGTAATTTGGTCATATTTCCACTCATGCGAGTAGACATGGTTACACTTTGATTTTTTAATTTAAAGCACGGATTTATACAAAACAATTAAGGCCCAATACTGTCACACGTTTGGTGACCAGACATGGGCTTTGGATTCGTAATTACATTTATTGGACTCCCACAACTCGTAACTGCGTTATCGCTAATTACCCGCTCTATAACGCACTAAGTCTTTTGAGTTCATCTTTATTAGTGGTTGCCTGGTAAAGGATCCCAACATTGTCCTCTTCTGCTCACGTCGTTACTCGTTGGCGAGTGTCTCTCTTCTAACCCATGGTCGGTTGGTTAAATTGTTGCTGCAACTCGCCAGCACAGTCATTCGTGGCTTCAGTCTCCTCGAGATCCATGGCAAGGACTTTCATTCTCTCCTAGACATGCACATGTGAACAAATGGGGCCCCCTCTTCGGCGAGGGGATGGTTCGGCCTCCCTATGTAGGCGCTACGTTTGTTGCACCGCAGTTTCAGCACGAGTATATCCGCGCTGTCATGGCATCCAGGTCACTGTGGGCGTTGTGTCACTGCACTGCACTGTACAGGGGTCGGCCTCTCTATGTAGGCGCTACGTTTGTTGCACCGCAGTTTCAGCACGAGTACATCCGCGCTGTCACGGCATCCAGGTCACTGTGGGCTTTGTGTCACTGCACTGCACTGTACGGGGCTCGGCCTCTCT